TGTTATTTACTTGGCAGTCAATGGGACAGTCACAAGCCTCCCGGTTTTCATCCAAAATATCTTAAATTGTGTTCCGAAGACGAATGAAGCTTTTACGGGTTTGGAACGACATGGGTTAAGTGATTAATGACAACATTTTCATTTTGGGGTGGAGTATCCCTTTAACTTGATGCAAGTCTGATGTTATGTAGATATATAATGAATAACAAACTCTTAGCAATCAGTTTACGATATTTCTAAAATCAAAACATACGTTTTCAAATGGATGTGGAAAATAAATCGACTGTTGTAAATTGTAACAGGGTGTTCGTCAGGTAAAGACATGCGTCATTAGGCACTAGCTGTGCACACAATGGCAGGATTTTAAAGGGGTCATATGATGCTGCTAAAAAGAACATTATTTTGTGTATTTGGTGTAATGAAATGTGTTTATGCTGTCGTTGTGTCATAAGCCACATGTCTGGTGTAGAGACAGTGCAAGTGTGTAATACGTACGTGTCGTAGACGTTGAGCAGCCAGTTGAGACACATGTCCACACACAGCGGGACGTTGACCAGGTCTTTGTGTTCCTGCTCCAGTCCGTCATAGACAGACGTCAAGCAGTTGATGACCTCAGGAACCGTCAGCTGCTGGGAGTTCACCGTCAACTTGTGCTGCTGGAACATGGACTGAGCCACATTCAGATCCAGCAGATCCACTGAGACACAGAGAGAGACAATGTTGGTCTTCACTGAACTCAAACTCAATCAGGAGTGCAGCAGCCGTCAGCCGTCAAAACCCACAAGAATAATTCACTATGGGTTCCCTCGAGACTTTCCTATGGGTTTTTTTTTAATGCGGCATTTCACTCACAACCCAATGGCTTTATGTAGATACTTATACAAACATACTTTATAAAAAATTATTAATAAAATAAAAATGAGCATTTTCAGTATAGCTGTTGAAGAGCAAAACTATTTTGCACAGAGTATTGAAAGGTAGCTTCCTTAAGGGGCTTTACATGAGAAAAATAAATAAAAGAACACGAGTAATTAAAAAGAACACATAAATACAGCAATCAAATAAAAGCTTTTACAAAATTATACAGATTTAAATATTCTAGTAGACTGACTTCATAACAGCAATTTTTGGGGCGTCAGAAAAGATCAGAAGTATCTGTCCCCTCATAGGCACAAGAGAAATACTGAGGACATAAATTAAAAATAAGTAATTAAATAGTCATTAAAAACACATTAAAGGGCATATTTACCACCAAGTGACTATGCAGCAATACAGTCATCAACAGCAATATGTATTTAAGAGAAATGTCATTTGAGTACATCGATGAACAGTTTTGAGCAATGTTCGTACTACTCACTTCACTTTTGAATGACTCGCTGAAATGGACTTAACTCTAACAGTGTTTTTGCTAATAAAGTTTAAATCCCAGATGCTACTAAATCTTGAAGCTCTTTCCTTATGCATGACAAGAAGGGGTTGTCAATACGGTTTCATGATAGTGGTCTCTTACACTACTGCAAAGGCTAATCTGATGCAGTCTATTATTTACAGACCACACACAAATTATTGCAGTGATCACTAGAATATTATACAAAAAGAATAGACTTCTGAATGTATATTTTATTAAGCAATGCAATACAATTTTCACAGAAAACTAAATATAAACTTGTAATGCCAAAACTTAAATTTCAACGTTTGCTTTTGAGCTATGTCTTCAAGAACGAATGTGAGTGTCAGAAATCTACAAAAACAGAAACTAAGCTACTGGCAAAATGTCTTGTTAGCGGTCACAGCCGGTTAGGGCAAACATCCCGATTAACATGGAAGTTTTATAGCTTGTCACTTCACGGCGTCACGCTCCGTTAGGACACGGTGTCAGCGTCTGAACCATCAACACTATTCATCTTTGATGGAGCGATAAAAATGAGCATTTTCAGTATAGCTGTTGAAGAGCAAAACTAAAAATCTTCAATTTATATTTACCACAGTCCTTGTTCTACTCATATATTGGAAAACCCAACTACTGTATAAAAACCCATAGGAAAATCTTGAGGGAACCAATGGCAAATTTGACCTCAATCAGTCATGCATGGTACTAGTAATGTCAAAGTCATGGGTTCGATTCACAAAGAAAGCAAGAACTGATCAAATGTAAATGTGCAGCTTGAATGCAATGTAAGTCACTTAGGATCAAGTGTCTGCTAAATAAATAATTGTAATTGCATTTTTATTTATGCATTTGTTCTTAAGCAGTTTAAAAAGGTGTTTTTTTTTTCAATAAGAAAGAAAAAAAAAAAAAAAAAAAAAAAAAAAAATAATTTTTTTACTTTAATTACACTAACTAAGCTACTGGCAAAATGTCTTGTTAGCGGTCACAGCCGGTTAGGGCAAACATCCCGATTAACATGGAAGTTTTATAGCTTGTCACTTCACGGCGTCACGCTCCGTTAGGACACGGTGTCAGCGTCTGAACCATCAACACTATTCATCTTTGATGGAGCGGTGGATGCCATATTCCCTGTTTACACTTTTAATGAGACCAATTAACAACTCAAGAAACAAACACGCATGCAAATGAAGAGATCACGTAGACACACGCTCCTCACTCATTCTCTGTGTGCTGTTAAAGGGTTAGTTCACCCAAAAATGAAAATTCTATCATTTACTCACCCTCATGTCGTTCCAAACCTGTATGAGTTGCTTTCTTATGTTGAACATAAAAGAAGATATTTTGAAGATTGCTGGTAATCAAACAGTTGGTGGTTGCCATTGACTTCCATAGTAGGAAAAGAAATACTATGGAAGTCAATGGCAACCACCAACTGTTTAATGTAAATGATGACAGAATTTTTGGGTGAACTATCCCTTTAATTGGGCCTGTCTGAGTTAATTGTGTCGATGGAGTGAGACGACGCAAGCATGCAGCTCTAATATAACACACTTACAGCAGAGGGCTTTCTGTAGCCGGCGGATCTTCATAGCCGTCCTGTATGCCGAGAAGCGCACGTTGTTGAGGTCAGCTAAAGGGAAACAGAAGAGAAAGTGTAAGAAAAAGTAAACACAGAAGTTTATAACACAAAGACTGTAAACTGAACCGAGTCTGAGTTCAGGAATGAGGAACGTTCAATGTGTGAAAAAGATGTTCGATTCACGGATGAATTGTTTATTTGAGTCTGTTATTTTTAATGATTCGCGACATGTGAAATCCATAAATAGTGCACCATCTGACACGATCTACATACACAATCTGAACTTGACAACAGGGTTATAAAACTGCAGCATTTCATTAAATATTTCACAACAACAAGTAAAAAAAAAAAAAAAGGTCTGTGTTAATGAGTGTGTTGACAAGCATGTTCTTACACCAGTTAAGGTTAACAAGTCAACAAGATGTAAAGGTCATCTAACAGGTTGAACTGGGTTCTTGTTAGGAAAAGGTCAAAATATGATTGATACACTTTGTCTTTTCTGTCAACTGTGAATGCTTGTCTTAATTTGTATGCTAATTTCAAAATCTTTTCTAGTGTTATTTTTATAGCTATCAGTGCTGTATATGTAAACATATTTAATGAAAGTGTGTATTAGCATTAGTAGCACAGAATTAGCATCAGAATGCTAATTAGCATTAGACTACCTATCCTGGCCCAAAATCTGACTGACTCTAAAATTATTCAAATTACATATAATCTTCAATAAATAAATAAATACAAACAATTGGTCTCATGTTTTATTGTTTTTGTTAACAAAAATTATTAAAATTGCTTTCATTAACTAAAATGAAATACACATACATTTATAAACATTTATTATACATATTATATCTATATATTATGTGTATATATATATCTATATATTATGTGTATATATATATATATATATATATATATATATGACAAAAAAGCATTTATGTAAATTTCAATATTTACTAATACTTTATTTAAATCAAATGTTGTATCTGTTCATGTTATTTAATGGAAATGAACGAACAATGAACAGTTGTATTTTTATTAATTAACTTTAACAAAGATTAATAAATACTGTAACAAATGTACTGCTCATTGTTACTGCATTAACTAATGTTAAGCAATGGGAACTTATTTTATAGTGTTACCAATAAGTTTAAGTACTAAAATATTACTATTACTATAAAACTGAATTGAAAACAAATTAAAGCTAAATAAAATGTATTTTAAAGCAACAATGACAAACGCACCTAAATACTATAATAGTATATAAATAACACCAAAATAAAACTGGTCTAGCCGTTTTTATTAGTGAATAACTAGCGTGAAATAGCAATGAAGAATACATTTACATTATCACAGTCAATATTCAATGTTAATTTCTACATACACTAATACATTAACATTTAAAATTTTAGTTAATTAGCATGAACAAACATGTGTTAACAAGGAGCAATAGAATATTTATAAATTAACATTAATCTACACTAATAACTAATATAAAATGTTCTTAATTGTTGTTTTATAATACCTAATGTAAAAAACGATTTTTTTTTTAACCAAACCCAAAACTGACCCCCATCACATTTAGTTTGTGTCCTCTCTGTATAACTGTGAATAGTTGCCCTCCAGTTCACGCGTATGTGTGTGTGTGTGTGTGTCTCTGGAGGTTTCCTGCCTTTCAGAGACAGCAAACACAGACACACACCTCTCCTCTGTGGACAGACGCTGTCCAGTATTTCTTCAGCTGTGGATTTAGGTGAGACTTGAGCTGCTCTCAGCGCGTCTCTGAAGGGTGATAAGACACGAGTCTCTGTGTGTGTGTGTGTTTGTGTCACTTACAGAGAGAGTGATAGAGCTCGGTCATCTTGGGATGGTCCCAGCACGTCGTCTGACTCTGATGACTGCAGAAGACAACAGAGATGGACAAAATGACTCTCTAGTCTCTACACCGTCTGCTGTTATTGTGTGTGTTTGTGCTATTTTTCCATTTGTATGAACAGAATTACAACATTTTGATTCCAACTAATTTTGAATCTCTTAAGTCAGTGATTCCCAAACTTTTTACACGTTTGTGTGTTCACTGTCTGACTTGGTTTATATTTAAAGCACAGTTTTCCTCCATTTGTACTATGTTTTTCTTTATGCCTTATATTGTCTTGCTCTGAAAAAAAAAAAAAAAAGAAAGTGCTCCACTGGGATTTTAGACACATTTCAATAATGTGATGACATTTGCATGTTCATGATGCCTCAATGTTGACTAATGTTCATATGGCAAAAAGGTAAACGATTACAACATTTCATCTTTTTTAGTAGGTGTGTTTTATTTTTTACTTCTATCTTATATTTACTTATATATTTTTTACTAAATCATCACATATTGTGATTGCAACTGTGATAGAACGTTATCTCTCATGAAAGCACCCCCACACAGAATTGTTTTAATTGTGTTTAATAATGATTTTTTTTCGATTGGGTAGGCATTGTCTGCTGGCTTCCATGGTGGAATATGCTGTGTTTTCTGCCAACTGGCAACCCAGGGTGTCGAAATACGATTGGCTGAATTGGCAGTGGGCGGAGTCACAGACCAAAACAAAAACAGACATTCCGTCATGGAACACACGTTTCAAAGCAGCAGAACTGGCTGTAGGACTATTTTTCAGAGAAACAGATACGTAAACTTACCATGTTTCCTAAATATCTGCAAACAGCTGCATTACGCTAGTTTTATGCTTTAGTACAGTCAAAAAATTACATACAGCACCTTTAAGTAAAGTTGGAACACACTGATTGTGGACCTCTGGCTATGGTTTAGGAAAAAACAAAACGAACATTGTAATGTTCTTTCACTGTACAGCTTGCTATTCATGATTCAAGCTTAGCAATTCTTAGTGTTTGATGCATGAGCAGAGCTAGATGGTGCGTGGAAAGGTAATCAAGCTTGAAATGTTTGCTAAAATGACTACAGATGTCAAGATTTATAAAATAAGTTACATTTTGGTCCGTTCTAAGCCCAAAACTGATTAGATCGCTTCAGAAGATGTGTTTTCGTGAGTCGTATGGATTATTTTTATGTTGCCTTCACATACTTTTAGGAGCTTCAAAGTCGGTCACCACTCACTTTCATTGTACCTACAGAGCGAATATTATTTCTGAAATCTAAAAGTCACACATCTGGGACGGCATGGCATGACAAGTTTCATTTTTGCATGAACTCTTTCTTTAAGAATTAACCACTGGAAATCTCATGCTGAATAATGTCTGGAGTGGTTCTAATCTTGAGGCAGACAGCAGATTTGCAAGCGAACACGACTATGTCTGACTGAGTTTCTGTCTCGGTCTCATCATCTCATTTATGACTCGTTCACATGTTGATAGAGGTCCTCTCTCCGCTCCGCTGCTATCGCCAGACGGCTCAAACCGTCTCAGCCAGACCCAACAGACGGAGCGCTGGGGACATGAGCAGCCCTAAACAGACCCTGATGGGTGTTCAGAGCTCAGCTTTACTGACGCATGCAAGGAGCCAGGTGTGATGGCGGATAACCGTTCTGTCACATAAATTGATTTTCAGCGGGATCAGTGAGGACTGCGGTGTTTGGAGGTCTGTGCTCTGGGCCGTAATTGAACTGGTTACCGCAAACCGGTGAAATAACCATCTATAGCAGGACAACAGCAAATCATCATCTACAAAACTACAGTCAGCTGCCTTACTGTCTACAGCAACATTCAGTGACGATGGATGAAATACCAAATTTTTTGTCTTATTAAACTATATATATATATCGATGGATGAAATACCACATTTTTTGTCTTATTAAACTATATATATATATATAGTTTAATAAGACAAAAAATGTGGTATTTCATCCATCGTCACTGAATATTGCTATAAATTGCTGAATTGCTGTTCAGTAAATGTTCTATTAATGCGTGGCAATGCATTCTGGGATTTGTGAATTGGTGATTCCATAGCATTCAAAGTATTATAGAAGAACCCTGGCATATCTTGCTGATGCAGTGAATGATTATTCGTATATTTACATGGTATACAACCACAGTACATTTTTAAGGCTGTGCATCTACTTTCCACTAGCTGTTTCATTGCAAGTGCTGTAATGAAATGACTACTTACACAACATTTAAAAGTCTGGGGCTGGTAAGATTTTTTTTTTTTTTTTATGTTTTTGAAAAAAAGTTGCTCACCAAGGCTGCATTTATTTGAACAAAATACAGTAAATCAGTAATATTTTGAAATCTTATTATAATTTAAAATAACTCTTTTCTATGTGATAGGATTTTTTGATTAAGAGAAAGTTCAACAGAACAAAATTTATTTGAAATAGAAATCTTTTATAGCACAATTACTGTCACTTTTGAGGAATTTAAAGTGTCCTTGCAAAAAAGAAAGAAAACAAGTATTCATTTATTTTTCAAAAGAAAAAAAAGAAAAGAAATAAACTGACTAACTGACCCCAAACTTTAGAAAAGGTGGAGTAAATGTTTAAAGCACTGACAAAATATATGAAGTATATATAATTAAATAAAGAACAAACTAAATAACGGCTTGGTTACATTCTGCATCCCGAGCAGCAGGCAGAGGTTTACAGTACAGGATGTGAGAGGTGTTTCACTGAGAGCGCGGAGCTGCTTACAGGATTAGATGCTGCTCTCTCATCTCTCTCTCTCTCTCTCTCACACACACACACACACACACACCAAATTTATGTCCTCATTTGTCACAAAAACGCGTACACACAGACACACAGACACACACACACACACACACTCTCACACACACTCTCGCTCTCTCTCTGAAGTCCAGGGAGCGAGTCTCTGAACACACTCTGATGAATAAACATGAACTCTACCCAACCCAACTCATTATATTCACAAAACAGTCTTTAGAATTACAGAAATATGCTTTTTGACAAAATACTTTGTAGATAAAATACATTTTCTTTCTTTTGGTCTCTCTCAGTCTCATCTGGCCTTTTTTTTTCATTAAGGAGGTTTGACATGTGAGACATCATCATCATCTCCACTTGACATGAAATCTCAGCTCATTCCAACACGCACACACACGCACACACACACACACACGCACACACACACGCACACACACACGC